GGTTATAAAAGGTGTCTGGTGAGTGAGTGAGTGGCTACTACAAAGTGGTATGTATTAAAGAGGAATGAGAGGTTCATTCGTCATGAAATAACGAATGTGTGAATTGAAGAAACAAGTGGAGGAGTATATTGAGAAACGAGATAATATCACTAATAATAAGTCCGGATAGTATAAGTAGAAAATTCGATAGTATTGAGGGAATGTTTGAATGAAGGGTATAAATTATGACGAATAATAATAGTAATAATAAGCAAAACAAGAAAAAAAATCAAGAGGGTCAAGAGGAAAAGGCACTCTTGTTGAAAAGAAGAATCATCAATCAAAGTTTGGCCAGGGTAGAAACAGCGTCTGGACGTGCTCTTTATGGATACAAAGTTCCGGTTTAGTCGATCTTATTGCAACAGCTTTAGCCATGTGTAGGAGACGTAAGAAAACTGTACGTGATAACGACTTCGGAATTCGGTAGCTGTGTTGACATCGATGCAATGTCCAGTATCGACTAAGTGTGACAGGATCGAGCTTTTTATGCACTTAATTTTCCCCCTGCTGAATCAAGTTGGTAAATGTTCTCAAACCCGTAGACGAACCTGCCTAATCGTGGACCCTATATAACTTGAAGCACAGGAACAGTTGAAATGGTATATGCATGGAGAAGAGCTAAGGTTAGGTAAGACATCTTTGAGTTGCTGGGTGAACATTGGATGGCTACTGAAGGATAGACACAAACGTGCAGAGTAGAAAGTTTTCTTGATCACCCTGCGATAGAATCTCCGCAGGAGTATCCCCCTTGAATTGGAGACGTAAAAACAGAGGCTTTTTCTCCACCGTTGCCAGTTCATGTTTACGACTATTGTAACCTATGTTGGCTGTAGTGAACTTCTCCGGATATCCCTTCTCGCTTAGAATGTCTCGGATGACCTGGAGTTCTTTTTCTAGACAGGCTTCGAAACAGATGGAGCTCGCTCTAAACGCTAAGCACATGATCAGATTACGTTTGCATTTCATCGGTAGGAGGCTAAGGGGGAGTGTATATACTGAGCTTTGGTCTCTAGCTTTCCAAATATGGTTCTTTTGACGGAACCATCCCCTCTTTTGTCTATTATGACTGATTACTATCATTGTCTGCTATTTCACTGAAATATTTTGTAATCGATTTCAGCCCAGAGCACGTTTGTTACACTCAAATACGACTATTTATTTTGACACCCCATAACTACTAATCTGTTATTCTACGTTAAAAAGTGTATTCGCCGCATAACTGGCTTTCATAATTGTAACGACGATAGATATTATATTTTATAGCTTGGTTCAGCAGGGGGGAAATTAAGTGCATTCAGAAAAGAGAACACGTCCAGATGCTGTTCCTCCCTTAACCCTCTTGGTTTTTTTCTTTCTTTGCTTATTAGTACAATTACTATTATTATTCGTCATAATCTATAATATCGAATTTTCCATTTATACTATCCGGACTTATTATTAGTAGTGATATTATCTCGTTTCTTAATATATGCCTCCATCTGTTTCTTCATTTCACACATTCGTTATTTCATGACGAATGAGCCTCTCATTGCAGTCTTACTTTCTATCTTCTGTTTAATACATACCACTTTGTACCAGCCACTCACTCACTCACTCACCTGACACCTTTTATAACCTTGAACTGACTTGTCAGTTTTTTCTACGCCACACTCTACAAATCTATTATGACGACTAATCACCGTCCTCATTGTCTCCTATTTCACTGAAATATTTTGCAATCGATTTCAACCCAGAGCACGTTTGTCTCACGCACAAATACGACTATTTATTTTGACACCCCATAACTACTAATCTCTTATTCTACGTTAAGGAAAAATGTATCCGCCGCATAACTAACTGGCGCTATCATTATTGTAACGACAATAAATATTATAATTGTTTTATAATTGTAAGAACCTGAAGAGGTGAAATTATTGAAAAGAATATTCTTCGTTCAGATTGACTTTTAATATATATATATATATATTAGTCAGAAATACATGGGAGGATTTGCTACTGATAAGTCAATAGACTACAACGAATCAATCATACGAAATGACAGGTACGAATGTTTTACATGTCAAGTTCAGACAGATGAGGGGAAAGGGGTGTGACAGGTAAGAATTAAGATTATAATGGATTACAGTTCAGTTATATCACTCATATAAACAATTAGTTATTAGACAATGAACTTGAAAATGTCAGGAATCGCAACACTAATAATAACAACAGGTAATAAGTAAAATATAGTAGTACCATGGTAGATTCAAAATGATCACCATTCCCTTCTGTACACACAGAGGCTGTGGTTTATAAGCTTTTAAAAAAATGTACAAGCCTCTAGAAACGTAAGCATTTTTTCTGTTCTGCTTGCTGGACAATAGTGAACTTGATTTGACAGTGTCAATATCACGCCTATAGTCTACAAAATGCTTTGTTACTGAACTCTCTTGTGTCTTGAATTCAGTTGGGTAGATGCGCCATCATGCGAGTAGGCAATCGTCTTTCCGTACTCCGATCTGTGTATTTGTATTTAGAGGACCCTAATTTATCTGTACGCGTTGATGTATACAACAAAGACTTCCCTTCACCTGATATTGAAGATTAAGATGGTTTGTTCAGAGTCATCTCAGAGCAACATTCATTCGATTGGCGCCTAATTTATACTTTAACTTAGCCATAAGTCAGGGGAATGGCTAACTTGTTTTTTCGCACTTAGATTCCACTTGAGAGCCTGTCTGGCGTGTGATGTCACCCAACAGGTGTTTGATTGGCTTGTTGGCATCATATCCCTCCCTTCTGGCCGTCTAATCTTCAGTATCCAGTGAGGTTGGGAGGTGTTGATGAAAGTCTGCAACAGGCTTTTGGGAATGTTTTCGGCGACGCGTGCGCCAAATCCCTGAACTTATATAGAAGCACTGACTGACTTGGCATTAGTGTTGAAGATCTGGATCCTACTTCCTTATGCTGAGTAGAGTAGACTTCCACATTGGCTTTATACACCTTGACGTGTTGGTCGGGCTTGCATATAACATTGACCCAAGTAACTGCATTGGCTAGAACGAATGTTGCTACAGACCCCACCATACAACCAGAAGGGTACTTTGGATAGCTGTTAGACAAAAAGCAGTTATCATGAAACTGTAAGCCATTTACACTATGTTGGGATGGGGTCTGAAGTCTTACACCAGGTGAATATGGATGCAACAGCAGTAAGGTATTTCCTTCGGACGACCAGCTGTGTTGCTACTTCGCACTTCAGAGAGGGGGGAAGGCGAAAGGTAGACCCCGAAAATTGTTATCACCCCGATAAACTAATCAGCAAGTATGCAGGAAATTGTAAAAACAAAATCATTATTATCAAGTATTGGTTTTGTAGGGATTTTGTTTGATTGGCTGGAGGATTTCATCATGAGCTGACATCAGTTAGAGTACCACTGCAAAGCACGCTGGGAGTACTGAACAACCAGCTGTTTCGTCAGCCCAGTGTCGGACTCTGTGGCAGCATGCACCACCGGGGTTCGAACCCAGGACCTTCCGGTTAAAAGGCGAGCTCGTAGACCATTGTGAAGTGGTCGCTCTATGTCGTGAATTGGTAGAATTTGGAATTCATGGGCTGGCTACTGGATCGGATCCCAGTGGCTTAATGGTCTACGAGCTCGCTCGCCTTGTAAGCAGAAGATCCTGGGTTCGAAACCCACTGGTGGGTGCGTGCTGATGAAGGGTCCCACACTAGGCTGACGAAACAGCTATCCAGTACTCCCAGCATGCTTTCCAATAGTACTCTAACTGATGTCAGCTCATGATGAAATCCTCCAACCAAAAAGTCATTATTAATAATAACACTAATAGTAATAAAGACGACATGCATGAAAAACATATTATACAATTATAAACCTCTCAAAACTGAAGTAAGATTCTTAACAAAGCGAAGAAAATAGACGTGTGGCATTCAAACCCATAAAAACTCACTTAGAAACAAATTATGTTAGTTAGAGGATCCTGTGGAGCCAACTAAACTAAACTAAATAATTTAGTTTATCTAATACCCTGCAATGATTGTGAGGTAAAATTAGTCGGTCAAAGTGATAGGACGAGGTCAGTTAAATTAGATAAGCACAAAAACCTAACAAAATTTAGAATACAGCCCAAATATAGCACTACATGCAATTATACACAACCATACAATAGAAAGGAAGGATAAGATAACAGTCTTAAATTAATACAATAGCTGAAGGGAAGATTAATAACAGAAGCTTTATTTATCTAGAATGCATGCAGTAAGAATGACTCAACACTCTGTCTATCCAGGACATCTGGAAATTCTACTACACTTAGGACAAATGCGAAGGAGTAAAGAGAACTATAAAAATCATGCAGCACCAATGGGGATGTCGAAGCCAGGAAAGCATTGTAGAAACAAGAGAGACCTTCATTACTTCAAAATCCGTGTGGAACTCTGCTCCACTCAGTATGAGAAACAGGATTCGGATTGTCAGTACTAATGGTCAAGTCAGTCAGTACTTCTATATGACTCGGGGACTCGGCGATTAGCGAAAAGTATTTCCAACAGACTGTTGCAGACTTTTATCAACAGCTGCCACTTTCGCTGGCTCCCTACTGAAGATCGAATTGACAGCTGGCCGGCTAGAGAGAATTAGCAACAAGAAACTCTGACTGGGAAAAAACCAACAGGTGAGAGCCGATTGCTCAACCAATATGTAGGAGAAAATGGAGGTGGATTGATCGGGCATACGTTGAGGAGGCCGTCGAACGAAATCGCGCGCAATGCAGGCCATCGACGAGTGAGTCATCGGTGCGAGGAGGAGGAGTGAGAGATTATGGACCCAGTTGAAGAGGACAGCAGCAAAAAAAAAGAATAAAGTGGAGCTGTGTTGCTGAAGCCCTATTTTCCACTCGGAACCCAAGGGAATAATAATAAGTGTCAGATATATTACAAAAAAAAAAATAACTTGACTTACTTTTACACTTGTTGCCAAATAAAAGTCCATGCCCACCAATTTGATTAGGATAATCAGTTAAATTCGACGGTAGTAGTGAACTCTTTTCAAATAGGCAGTTCAATGTCGTCTCTTCCATTTCATTATTCATTATTGTTAACACAATCAATCATAAAGGGTTCTTTCATATAAATATATCTATGATGATTAAAACACAGAGAAAAAGAAGATAAAAAATTCATTAAATAAACACACCTAGATAGTTATTCAATTCAATTTTAAATAACCCCATAGATTATAATAAAGGTTTTTGTATTTCCCAATGAATGAAAAACAAAACGATATTGTTATGTTTACTGGCGTTTCGCTATTTAATGCTAATAGCTTTATCAAAGTATTATTAAACCGGAATTTACAAAATCTCAACGTATATATAACAAAAAACAAAGAGTTAAGGAGTGAGTAAATAGACTTAGGTTAAGTTAAAAGGACATATTAAAAGTCAAAATAACAACGAAGATCACTAAACCAAATAACAAAGGTAATACACAGACAGATAAATGGTGTTGCTACGGGTTCACCAGTCTCCCCAATAGTCGCCGATCGTTTCATGAATAGATTCGAAAATAACATCTTTTCAAGCATACTCACTCCTAAAATATGGTTAAGATATGTGGATGATACTTTGTGGTACTAAAACGAGATCTACACAATTCATTCCTGGAGAAAATAAACTATGTATCTCCCAGAATGCAGTTTACTTCGGAAGCAGAATCAGACGTCGGTGAACTACCATTTCTAGACTGCCTAGTAAAGAGAAGGGAAAACGGACATTTTAGTACATCCATATTCAGCAAGAAAACCCACTCCAATAAATGTTTAGACTTCAAATCATCACACCCCATCAGCACAAAGATTTCAGTTGTTTCAAGTCTTTTTAAAAGAGCACACCCTCTGATAACGGATGAGAAAGAAAAAGAAGAAGAAATATCAAACATTACTGAAACTCTCAAGCAAAACAACTACCCAAGGAACTTCATCAACAAAATCAACACTGACACTAAGTATGGTTGAGAACGCATTCCGAAAACACGGACCTCAACAGTCATCATTCCATATAGATATGATATCAGAAGAGCACTCAATCAGCTCGACATTAGAGTTTTCTTCAAAACATCAGATACACTACGAAAAACAACCTTGTCCATATAAAAGACCAGATCCCTAAAGATTCTCTACCTAATTGTGTCTATAAAATAAAATGCCTGGAATGTGATGCGATACATCGGACAAACATCTCGAGAAATCAAAATTAGAAGAAATGAACACCTCTAGAGCATCTTTTCGACCACCAAGAAATTCGGTTGGACTAGAAAAACTTGAAATATCAAGTCATAGGTCTACATGCTATAGAATCAGGTCACAAAATTGATTTTGAAAATATTGAAATAATCCAGAAAAACTTCAGAAATCATAAAGAACGCCTAATATCATCAGAAGTACTTCATATCAAGTGGAATCCAAATTGCCTGAATAGGAATGATGGACTAAAACAGAATCTGACCTGGTTACAACACCTCCCTCCCCCATGAAGTGACAAAATCAACACGAATGTCATATGCAAGCTCACTATGTAAACACACTATCTTTATAATTTTAAACACTGATCAAATCCAACAATCTACACTTGGTTTTGTTATCTTTACCAGTTGACCGACTTGACAACGAAAAATGCCCCCAGACTGACGAAAGATGACCAAGTTAGTAAACTTTGTTTTGATATCATAACAGATGTACTATTACCTTTGTTATTTGGTTTAGTGACTTCATTGTTATTTTGACTTTCAATATGTCCTTTTAACTTAACCTAAGTCTATTTACTCACCCCTTAACTCTTTGTTATATATACGCTGAGATTTTGTAAGTTCCGGTTTAATAATACTTTGATAAAGCTATTAGCATTAAATAGCGAAACGTCAGTAAACATAACAATATCGTTTTATTTTTCATTGATTGGGAAATACAAAAACCTTTATTATAATGAATATCATATACCCAATGCCCAAATTTTTTCAAACTGTTAAAAGTGAACTTGGTTTGGACATATATAATCCCATCGATTGATTGTACTAAAGTACTCAGTCTCAGGTTAACATGTCGCCTCTTTATGCTTCGATGATGTCTGGTCATGTAACTTGAAGTCTACTGGTAGTGGATGGTGACTAAAAGAGGCATCCAAGGGTTCCAAATAGGACGAAATGCTCAGCCTGGATTTTACTGCTAGTCACCACCCATCCACCAATCGATAGTTAGTTATACACAACTTGAGATTAACTGACAGTGTTATCACAGGAACTCCCAAGGACTGCACTGTGTGCACCATTATGGATAAAATTCTATTTTGATAAAGTCACACAGTGTTATACAGTAAGTAATATTTACTGATGACAACGTTTCGAGCACAATTTATTGCTGTTCATAACCATATCAAGTCACTCATACGGCTTTCTTGCCTCGTTTACATACTTGAGTAAAAATTGATGATTAGACATTTGAATAAAATCAATATAAGATAAAGTACATTCGGAGTCAATATTAGTGTTATCAATAAGATGTTTTTTAGTAAAATAAATAATTTTGTTAGAGTCTACACGCGCAATAGAAGTGACTCAACGCAAATACCAGAGATATGCATGGAAGATATTATTACCACCAGTCAGTCAAATCAGAGGAGGATAATAAATAATGTTAAAATGTATTTCAATTCACACATTATAGCATTCTAACAAGTTATTCATTTATTTTAGTATAAAAACATCTTAGTTCCCATCTGATTGTATTTTATTGGTAACACTAATATTATTATTTCTGAATGTGCATTATCCTATACTGATTTTATTCAAATGTCTAATCATCAATTTTTACTCATGTATATAAACGATTAAGCAAGAAAGTTGTGTGAGTGAGTGCCTTGATATGTTTATGAGCAGTAATAAATTGTGCTGGAAACGTATTCATCAGTAAATATTAATGTATAACAACACTGTGTGATTTTATCAAAATAAAATCTTATCCATAATGGAGTTATACTCTACCACCACAGTGCCCAATTTTTTTATCTTTACATCTTAATTCCAGTTAGCTGGCCACTTGAGAGAATTGGCAATACATAATCGAATTACTTTTCATGTACATGTAAACATTGACTGACTGAATTTCAACTTAGGAGTTAGAACAGAAGTGTAACAGTCCCAAGTTATCACACTCCATGTATCACACAAAAGTAGACAAACCAGCGAAGAAAAGAGATTCAAAAGAACGATAATACAAGCAGAAATGTGAGGAAGAAAGAATAGTGTTATGAGAAAGCATAATGGTATACTGGATACAGGAGATTACAGAAATTGAATGGATCTGCGTCATCACTGAAAAAGATTTTATGCCATATCACCAATACTCCTCAGTCTCTGGTTCTCAGAATCCCTAGGACTCCAACCAGACAATTTACACCTCTCCCTCCCTCTATGTGGCTCAAATCAATTATCAAAAACTTTATGGATTGATTCCATTTTGATTTGACCACGCCTAATTCTCTCTCAATCTAATCCTACTTTCGTCAACATTTCCCATCCAGGAACATGATGCCTCGGAATAGGTAACACGTGTCTTAGGCATCCCGATCGATTAACCCTAACAACTTCATCGACTGACTTACTTTCCTTACTTAAAATTCTACACTTAAACTCAATATTCATATTAGATTGTTTACTAGATACATCACACAGTGAGTGGAACAGTATTATTATTTACTGGATGACAATTTTTCGAACACAATTCATTATTGTTCATAGTCATTTCATCAATTATAATCACACAACTTCGAAACTTGAGTTTTACGGTTTTCTTTGTTCTCTCCTATTTGTCGTCGTTGGGGTAGTAGAATTTTCCAGATATCGGGGATAGGTGATGAATCATTCCTATTACATGTATTTGTAGTTGATTCGATGAACAAAGCTTCTGTTATCAATCTTTCCCTCCACACACCCTGTGACATTAGATTTTAAAACTGTCATTTTATCCCATCCTATCATATTGTGTGGTTGTGTGTAGTTGCACGTAGTGAGTGCCATAGCTGAACTATTCTCTAGGCTTCTTATCTTATTCGGGTCTAGAGAATAATTCATCTATAGTACTCACTACATGCCCTTACACACAACCATACAATACGATCGGATGGGATAGGATGACAGTTTTAAAATCTGATTTAACCAACCTGGTGGGGGAAGAGATTGATAACGGAAGCTTTGTTTATCGAATCAACTGAGAGAGAATACGTGTAATAGGAATGATTCAACACCCGTCCACTCAGATATTTGGAAAATTCGACTACCCCTACGACGATAAATAGAGGAGAACAAAGAAAACTATAAAACTCATGTTTCGAAGTTGTGATTATAATTGATGATATGATTATGAAGAATAAATTTTGTTCGAAACACCATCCAGTTAATAATACTGTTCCACTCACTGTGAGTGATATATCTAGTAAACAAACTAATATGGAATTACTTACTACCATAGTGTCCAAGTTTTACACATGCATTAATAAAACCTCAATATTACTCACGATTTTATACCACTTATAAATATATATATGCATTGACTTACCTATGTAGGCGAGACTGTAGTGTTCCACTAACACGACTGGTGTTTTTGTCTTCTTCGTGTTCTTCTTGTATGTAGTATTTCAAGATTTCGTTGTCAGATGAACTAGTTGCAGAGATTTATATAAAACTGTTCTTAACAACTGACGTACTAAGCATGGAATAGAACATGGAGAAACAGAAAGGATAGCGATTACTATTAATATCATTATTATTATTGTTAACAATCAATAGTAAGAAGTATTAGTAAATGAATGAACCCACTACTTTGCTACTTTGAAACTTCAGTATTAAAGATCAAATTCATTATGATTTTTTCCACCTTGTATTCATTTATTTTACTTTGATGTTTAGTTTGAATGTTAAAGTGCGCAACCATGGTTATTATTTTCTAGAACCATGAATATCGTCTTCATTAATTATCCAATTCATAGGCATGTTACACAAAGCAAAACAACGCGTTTTAACAGATTATCTTTGATGTGTTAAGTTTTGTAGTACTTAGGTTACTGACTTGAAAATAGTATAAATGTGACGTTTAAACTGTCTACTCGAGGTAGAATTACACGAGTCTCAAAGTCCCAATCGATGCTTCTAACTTCAAGTCTTTCTTTTTTTCTTTTTAAGATAACCTAACTAACGTACAGTCACAATCCTTAATTATTTAGGAGTTAAGAGTATTTATATTATATTATTATTGTTCCCTTGGGTTCCTAGTGGAACATAGGGCTTCAACTGCACGCCTCCACTTGCTTCTGTCTTCTGCTGTACTTTTCACTTGCATCCATGTTAATCCATACTGTTTCAGTTCCTCATCACACGATCTCCTCCATGTCACCCTTGGACGTCCCACTCGCCGCTTCCCTTTCGGCTTCCACTCGAGCACTGGCCTGACGCGCGATGTCACCCAACGGCCTCCTCAGCCAGTGTCCAATCCATCTCCACTTTCTCCTGCATATTTGTTGGGCGATTGTTTGTTCCCATAGCTTCTTGTTGGTGATTCTTTCCGGCCATCTAATCTTCAGTATAGAACGAAGACAGCTGTTGATAAAGGTCTGCAAACTGTTGGAAATATTCTTGGTGACCCGCCAAGTTTCTGATCCGTATAGAAGAACTGACTTGACGTTTGTATTGAAAATCCGAATTTTGTTGTTGATGTTGAGTGAGTGACGAAGATTTCCAGATTGGTTTCAGGTTGATGAATGTGTTTCTCGCCTTCCCGATTCTCGACCTGACATCCTCGTCCGTTCCTCCTGTGGTTGAGACAATGCTCCCTAGATAAGTGAAAGAAGTAACCTCTTTCAAATCCCTCCCGTTGATGGTGATTGGCACTGGATGTTGCTGCTGTTGTTGTTGTTGGTTGGTTATTTTCATAACCTCCGTCTTGTCTGTGTTCACCTGGAGTCCTGTCTTTGCTGCTTCTTCGACTAGTTTGTCGGTTTTCGCTAGTAAGTCTTCGATCTTGTGTGACATCAAACATAAGTCATCCGCGAAATAAGAGTATTTAGCTTGAGCTATAATATTACTCACCCTATTTCTTCTATACTTTCACTTTGTATAGTCTACGTTTCAGTCTGTGCATTAGTGATACAGTGGTTGAATGCTTGTCAGCTATGCAAGAGGTCCATCTTCCATTCTCTGTGAACATAATTCTAAATATTGCTTAGACAGCAGTAAGCCTGTAAAAGATGGAAGTTAGGTAGTGGGGCTAATATTTTTATTCATCGCTACTTCAGAGACTAAAGGCTAATAATACACACGGAAGACAAGGTATGAAAACAAAAGGCTTCATTTTACTTCATTTCATGTTATTCATTTGATGAGATTCTATTTGAATTCCATACTGATTGATTTTTAGTGGACTGAAATGCTGGGTCAAACAACATCTGATACGTGTTGGAAAAGAGGTAGTTCTTGTGACCCAATGACCCAGTAGATAACAGTTTGATGCTTGACATGAAAAGTGATGGATTCAAGCCTTGATTGGAATACCATTACTCACTGGGAGTGTAATTATTTACACATTGCAAGTCTCAAACAGGATAAAACGCGCATCTGAAATTGCATTGTTAGACACCATCAATCAAATACGGCTAAAATTAAACTGTCATAGCTAAAATCAGTGACCTTTGGTAACCAATCAGAATTCAGATGGGGAAAAGTAGCATAGTCCTTAAGATATGTGTTACTAATCATTACAAATATGATGTTACATTAGATAATTGTGTGTTGTAAGAATGTATCCCCGTTACTCTAACAACAGTTCACAGGAAAATCATACCATGTGCAATAGATGTATACATCGAAGTGATTTTAGATAATGGTACTCTGGAATCCTGAAACTTCATTAACCTACTCGTAATTCTAACCTTAACCTTAAACCCTAAAATAAATCCTTAAAAACCCTAATCCTGACTGAGACCATAGATTTACAGAAAAGAAGTAGGTAGGGTATAAGTAGAATACTGTACTTACCCTCAACAAATCAGAAAAGGCATGTATGATCTGATTTGGAATGAACTTTCGCATTGCTCCCTAAGTCTGGTTCATTCTTCAAGGTCAACTTTTGACAAACTCTTCAGTTCGGCTATCATAGTTTAATTTCACTCAAATACTATCCTGTCTCTGTTTAATCCTTCAATTTGGATCAATTTATTCAAAATCTAACCCTTTTGGTGTGGTAGCCTGATGGCGAACCATAATCTACGAGTGTTGACATTGCATTTATGTGACCATATTATTTAATTGTTTACTGTATGCCTGGGCTATACAAATTTATTTGCGTGCATGATTTAATATATATATTACTAATACAGTGGCATAAATAAAGTACAATTTACACTGCTCTACACGACTCAGAATTTTTCCTCTCTCCTAACACTCAGCGTCAATTCTTAGCTTTTGACGAAACATCAATCATTTTTCATCATGGCTGAAAAATGAAAAGGTCTCATAAAAGCCTCTAACCCTCAGTCTAAGCAGAGTAACAAGATGTCCTGTCTACAAATAAGAGTGGCATATTAACGACGGATCCTAAATATCCTAATATACACCTTTTTCACTCCTGAAGCATCATGTGCATGTCTTCACATATGCAATCATTTCACATACTAATTTGTGGATGCTTCTCTGTCACCTCATGTGGTGAACTAGCAGTTAACAAGCTTTAAGATGTTATTTTTCAGAATGTGTCTGCATGCATATTAACTAGGAGAATTTTGAGAAACTTATTTAGGTGCCTAAAAACCTTGTATATATATATATATATATATATATATATATATATATATATATAACTCATTTATGCGTTCAATGTCAAAAACACATACCCTGTTACTCTATTTCAACTAAGAGCTAGCTAAAGGTTTCATGTATTACTTTCATTTTTCAGACACTTTAAACGTGACATTACATTATCGAAGTTCCTGTACACACTCACTATTATATAAGGCAGTCATACACATAAGAAATGAGTTATAAACTCCATAATGACATGAAAAAAATTTATACACAGCGGAACACCCAAACTTAAGATATTCAAAAAAATCTTCAGGTGTAGTTAGCTGCATCGTCATTAAATACATAATATACACAGTGAAAAACAAAATAATTACCATTTCTGACTCATGATAACGTCTTATCACCTTTTATGCGATAATTCAATTATTCATAGGCCAATCGTAATAGCAGTCTGTCGTCGCTATGATTTACTGCAATTACATAAACCAGATTCGCAGTTTACAATACTGAAGGTGACAACAAAACTGAAAATGGCGCACTACCTAGAAATAGTGACTAAATTAGGTCTAACAAACTAAACAAAATCTAACAAGTATTTATAGTTAGACCACTATTACAAGAAACTAGAATTCTCAAACAAATCTTTACGGATACGGAAAGATGCAATATCCCATGCTTTGTGATGTGCTTGTTACTAACTTCTTATTTCATTTTGTTTTTGGAACGATTCTAGGTCTTTGGCTGCTTGCAGTAAAGGGAATCTGTCTCCCTGCCTACTGAAGTTGTACACAGTCAGATGACGTACATTAATCTGGAGGAGAACTTATTATACCAATTTTCTTTTTTCTTGTGAAAGGACTAAAGGCAACATGTAAACTAGTGTGTTCTCGGCACAGTTTATTTACAGTTTTCCTTAGCTGCCAAGTTATTTTGCAAAAAGGCAGGTTCTTCCTGAGACCATGTTGCTTTTGATTTAGAGTTTTCACCCAGCCGTCCCCAAACCGAAACATGCAACCAGCTGTCCATCACTTTTTACAGTAGTAAAGCTACAGGTCTACACTTCCTTAATGACAGGCGGTATGATAGCTCGCTTTAAATCTCAGGTAACTGATGTCCGTTCAAAAGGTTCTACAACAGTTTACTTGGTGGAACGCATGAAGTTTCACCACACAGTTTTGGAACTACTAGTCTGGTCTCATCAAATGCTAAGGTTTCTCTAGGGTGAGATTTGCTAGGTTCTCCAGAACCAAACTTGGAGGAGTAATCGCACCATAGTTCTAATAAGCCACGCGCTGCTGGTGCATACACACTTTGTTCACACCCATTTTATCCAGTTGTCTCTCACTAAGGGCCCCGTAGCTCGGTACTCTGGTTTCCCACAGCACAAAATCTTCTTGATCATAACTTGTCCTCCGGGCCACGAGTCATTAGAGATTCTTGTAGTAGGCTTGCTGTTGCATGGAATGTCCTCCTTTTCCCTTAGACTTTGGCGATGCATCAGACTTCTAAGGCTAGATACATAGTACACTGTGGCTGCCCCCTTTGAAGTCTCCATTTGTATCACATCCTTATCTAAGGGAGACAGTCTGTACATCTCTTAGGTCAGTTTTTTTAGTGTCACGGTTATCGTGTGGACGAATCATTTGTGATCTTTCTGATAACTCCATCTATCCCTGGTTAACGTCCACTGTTAATGGATAGTAACATTATGACCAAGATGCCGGCATCAGAACTTCTTTTATCTAATAAAAGTTTTATTTCCCACCTTAGCGTCGGGCAGGAGAATTGTTCTTTGTCAGTTGTTCCTCCGAAACTATGGTAAACACCACCAGTATGTGATCACTGCTATCTACTGTTTGCCCTATCTGTATATTGACTACAATAAGGTGGTTTCTCGTGGGGAGGTAGTCTAACATGGCTGGTTTGTCTTCTGCCATCCACCAACGCGTGTCACTCTTACTAGTTTGGTATAGACCAACGGCCATGACGGCATTCATCAGCTCACTAAAGAAAGTCCCTTTCTACGTATGATTTCACCAATGATAAATTATGGTGTGTTGAATTATGACTTGGTCAACTTCTATCGACTAATTCGTGTGGACTGCTGCCACAACTTGTTGCTTTTGCTTTAACTCGTATTTTGGGGCCCGGTGTGCTCACGTAAACGAGGACCTGGTGTTGCTTAAAGTTGGGCAACACGAAACTGACTCTAAGAGTTCGATCAGTGTTGCAGTAGAAGTGAGGCCTGACGAGGTCCCACTGATTGTTCACACTATAGCTCCAGCACTCTTCCCTGGTTTTATTTCTTCTACGCATTGCCAGAACCATCTACACCATTTCATTAATTTCAATTCAGAATGATTCCTATGTATCTTGGTTGTTTCCTTCTACAGATCACTCATATTCTTTGGCGACCCGGTGGAAATTTTTTTTCTGTCATTGTCAAGTATTTTAATGTCATGAGGTTAGATTTCCCGATATTCTACCATCATGCGAGTGCACTTTCGTAGCGTTACTTTTCCCTGCTGTCACTGTTAATCTCTGAGCTTTCTCATGATACATTGGGTGTTGCCACAAATCTTGTCTTTAGTTGAATATCATATTCTGAGAATAGCTCTCAGGTTTAGCTATATGGGTAACCGCTGCCAGTGCTGTAAATCATCCAGGCAAATCTCAGTCGAGTCAGTCGTTGCCGTTCGCGACCATAACCGCCGTTTTGACAGGGCCTTGTGCTCACTCATGGCCCATTAAGTGCTGAGTTTCACTGCTACTTTGGATGGCTGATGTTGGCTCTTTTCCCATGTACCACTCGTTACTATGTCCTTCGTGTTTAACTTTACTTGTCAATATAGAGAGTATTGGTTTACTCTTCATTACTATGCCGTTACTCTTTCACCAGAGTCATTGATATCCGTTGAGCTTTATCCCACTTAGTGTATCAGAGTCTTATTTGATCAGCGGGGATTATCTGCCTGTGGTTAAACAGTATCTGCTGTATACGTTCCCATTATAAATAAATTTATTCTCATAGTACAGTACATGAGGGACGCCAGTTTACAGGCATCATCAAATTGTTACAGAAATAGAACCATATAATTCAATCACAATTTACAGGCAGTAGCAAGATATGCTTTACATGTTCGCTGGAGATTATACATACACTTGATAAATGTTAATCCCAGTAGTATAAAACAGCCTTTTCACTTATATACAATCATTTCTGTGCAAAGTTGGAAAAATCTGCTAGATTGTCAGTGAGTGCAACACATCAGGAAATACAGAAGTATTGTCTTCGCATTAACAAAAAACCAGGTCTTTGGTGGATGGATTATAAGTGCCTGGGAAAAAAATAAAGCTTGAAGTAAATATTCATACATAACTTTGTTGTGTGCAGAATCCTCGAATTATAGTTCATTGATGTGTTATTTTGAAATCAGTGATGTGTTTATCTCATTTGATCTTCAATGTCATTGTTGGGAGTAAGTAAATAAGCTTCGGACGCATTAATTAATGGATTTCTACTGCTTGTGGGTATTTTCTTAGCGTGAGGAAGGTTTATGAATTTCAGGTGTTCCGACAGGGGTTGAGAATATTAACTGCTCAGCAACACTATGGATATAAGTTCATCACATTACCTAAGGAAAGATGGGTTGTAGTTGGTGAGGGATATATGGTGCCCAACGAGCGTACATCTGTCCATGTGATGTTGTGGTGAGTTATACCTTTTTCATGTTGTTGGTTTATGTCCATTTTATTCCACTTATTGTGTTGGGTAGTAGTTTTACAAACGAGACTTCTTGTCCGTTTGAGGATACGTATCTTAACCGTTAATGTTTTATCTAGAATTATAAATATAGGCAAAAAACAACAGGTGTAGTATTTAAGCTTATACATTAAATGGACCTATAATTTCGGAGGCTCTCAGATAGGAACTAGAACTACTATCGTTTGCAAACTCTTGTAGCTTGTCATTAAGCACCTTTTTGAAGGAGGCCAATGTACTTGCTTGACGCATTTCCATTGGCAGTTTATTCCATATCTGTGCATACCTAATCAAGCAAAACTTTTGCCTGGTGGCTGTTTTACATTGTTCGATAGCTACTGTACCCTTAGTGTGTCTTAGTTTGTAGCCATTGTCATCTGAAAGTCGAGTGCCATTAGTAGAGGTAAAAACTAAGTGGTTTAGAAGCTTATAGTAAAGTGTCAAGTTTAGTCTCAGACGTCTTAGCCATAGTGTTTCTAGTCCTAGGGTATCACATCTAGTGGAGTAGTTCGCACAATTTTCGGTTCCGAGTAATTTTAACGTGAAGTACCTCTGCACTCCCTCGACTTTCAATTTGTCCTCTATGCGTATGCTACTATACATGAATGCACAGTAATCAAATAAAGGACGCACACAAACCTTGTACAACAGAATTCTAGACTCATTTCTGTAGAAGTTCCTGAGTAGAAAGCCGATAAGTCTGCGTTACTTTGACGCTTGTTTGGAGATATGTTCAGAAAATGATAAGTTATGTGAATATTTCAGCCCTAAGTCCAGTACAGATTCCAGTCGTTGAAGTGCATGGCCTTGAATTGTAAGGTCAAGTTCTAAATTGTTGCAACCTACGCAGAGCCAGTCACATTTTTCGACATTAAATTGGAGTTGCCAGGTGTCACACCATCTATCCATTTTTTCTAATTCTTGCTGTATGGCGTTTACTGTTATTCCAAGATGTGTGTTCTTGCATTTATACGTCACTTTTAAGTCATCTGCATATAGTATTGGTTTACCTACACTAAAGCATTCACAGATACTGTTTATATATATTATGAATAAGAGTGGGCCTAATATTTGTATCACATAATACACTTCCCTGGATTACACCACTACTTACTGGTTTAGGCCTTGAGATTATCGAGCCAACTTTCGTTGTCTGACTTCGGCCACAGAGAAATGATTTTATTCAGCTCAGGAGAGAGTCACATATCCCTAGTGAGCATAACCTGCTGACTAGCAGATTATGGGGAACTCTGTCGAAGGCTTTTGTTATATCGAAATATAGTACAATTACTAGTTCTCTGTTGTCCCTACTTCGTGTAACTTCATTGAAAAAGTCTATGTGACAGGTCACACATGATCTTTTTTTAAGAAATCCGTGTTGTGATCGATTGATAAGTTCATGTTCTAGTAAGTTGTCTGACACTTGGTCTTTAACCACTTTCTCCATTATTCGGGATATTACCGGTGTTATATTGATAAGTCGATAGTTGCATACACTGGTTTTGGCCCCTGCTTTGTGCTTAGGTAATATGTATGTGGTTTTCCACACTTCAGGATAAGTTCCAGTTTCCAACGAGAGAGTAAATATTCTAAGTAACAAGACTACCATTTCCGTGCTACCATTTTTGTACATGACAGATGGTATGTCATCTGTTCCAGTACTACCATTAGACTTCCAAGTCCTAATCGCTCAGTCTATATTTTGTATATTAAAGTGTATTTCGCCTAATTTGTGGTTACTTTTGCAGGTCATTTGGAAATTTTGGGTCGGGTGCACTCTGGCGTCATTGCAAAACCACTCATTGAGGAGTTCAATTATAAC